TCTCTTCAGTTCTACTTGCCAAATTCCTACTCATAACTGTCAAAATTGACATAGATTTGTAAAATTCACAGCAATTTGGCCACCCAGACTGTTGTTAAAGAATACAAGGTACTGGTATACATGTACTGTCTGCATTTGCACATTCGACATACTCTGGGGATGATCACTTAAAAGATTTCCTGACACAGGAAGGAATGAAAGATAATTAAGTACGTAGCAGTATTCTATCAGATTGGGAGAAGTCTTGTGCTTCTGTGTCTTCCAATAGAAAGATGCATTTATAGCCACCAGTGAAAAGTATGGTTGGCACTGAATGACAAGTGAGTCAGGCAAATACTCTGAACTCATTCACACACACACATGATTGTTATCTTGTATCATACTTACCCTTGTCCTGAGAATGTATCATTGTGGGATTCTCAGGCAATTCATTATCAGCTGCATTGTTTGTTGTCACCAGTGCTCTTGACTCCAAGAGTGATGTGGAAGTGTCAGGAACTGTGACAGGGATCTAAAGGAAGGGAACAGTCCTTTGGAGATTTTCTAAAGTCAAGGTTAGGTTGGCAATGCCACTAAAAACACATTAATTCTGACATTTATCTAAAAATGGATTCTTAATGCAGTCCTGTTTTCATTCTGCATCTGTCAAGTTTATCTTCACTTCCCAGTAACATATCTGCATTTGAGGATGCAGAGTGCATCTGTATAGCAGAATTAATGCAGTTTGACACTACTTTAACTGCCATGAATGAATGAATGTATAAGACTTTATTTCTATCCCTCCCTATCTCCCCAGTGGGGACTCAGGGATGCTTACAACATATAGAGAGGCAAACATTTGATGCCATATAAAATACCAAATAACATCTACAAAATGATAAAACCCAATTTGCAATTACACAGGCAACAAAGACAATCAGACAATTAATAATAATAATAATAATAATAATAATTATTATTATTAATTAATTAATTATTTATACCCTGCCACCATCTCCCCAAGGGGACTCGGCGTGGCTAACATGAGGCCAAGCCCAAGAATTTATAATAAGCAAAGTAAAATACATACAACAGATAATAACTTCAAATCAAATGCAAACAATAACAAAATAATACAGTAAGGTAAACATAGGATATAAAATAAAATAAAGGAATTGAACACAGTGGGCTGGGCCAGATTCAAGGGGGAAAATTATAAAACCCTGGGTGAGATAAATAAATAGTGTATCTGATGGGAGATTCAGGTAGGTCAAACGATGGGGTTGATTTTCATTGAAGGATGAGATAAAGTGCATCAAAGGGACAAATTTGTACTGGGATGGTCATGGTATGGGGATTTGTTGTTCAATTAAACATAGGCCAACAAATTCACATTATAACAATTTCATAATTAACAGATTTTTACAATTTAGAGTTTAAAAGATTAAAAGCATTTAAAAGCCATAGCATAGCCATTGCACAATGCTATAGAATCGTGGGAGTTGCCGTTTGGGGAGGTACCAGTACTGTTTAGCAAAGAAGGCTAAAGACATAAAACGATTAGACCTCTCATTCCATAGCATTGAGTCATAGCAGTTAAAATGGTGTCAAACTTCATTACGGTAATTCTACGGTGTACATGCACCCTGAGTCTACAAATTCTTATGCTACCAACTTTGTTCTCTCCATTCGTTTCTAAGGTGTATAAGATCCCTTTGTATACCAATAATATATAGTTCATGATAACATTCACATGATATTTCTATCTCAGATAAAAGAACATGAGAAAAGTGGAAGATCATTGTCCAGACACTTAGAACATTGTTATGGTTTGAGATTCACTATTCCTTGTACTTGCAGTAAAGGGAGGCTGAAGCTGAAATGCATGAAGTAGAAAGCAAGCACAGCATGCTGGATTGTAGAACAAATACTACATAATTTAGGCAAGACTCTCCACTTACAGTTTCTATGCATAGGTGAATGCATAAGAGTTCTAACCTTTTCTCCTAAACCAAAGTGCTTTTTAAGAACCATACAACCTGTGACTATTTTCTTCATGCAGCACTCTATATTCATTTATTTCCCTTCATAGACTAAATATTTTCTGTATTTTCAAATAACGTTTGAATCAGAACATCAAGCAGACCTAATGGAAACAGAAAATGTTATTTTTGAATAGAAAAAAATAAAAACATTCCTTTATTATTTGATATTCAGATCATCATAAAAATTAATGAAGTATCATCTAGATAGCGGAATGTTGTCAATGGAATATAATGACAACTTAATCCTTATTTATCTCACTTTTGTTGATAAATCAATAAAAGATAAATCAATCTATATATATAAATCTGAAAGTGGCGTCGAACGGGACAGCAAAACTCAACCCCCCCCCCAACAAAAATTAACCAAAATTCCCATGCACCTACCACAACCCACAAGGTACAAACAAATCAAATCAAAGTAAAAAACAACACAACAACACACTCACAAAATGACAAAACAACTGAGCATGCGCAATGGCACCCAGCCGCAACTTCCCTGGCGCGCGCACATGGCCTGCTGGCCAACGCTCCCTCCGTGCAAGCCACGCCCCATCCTCCATGCTCCTTCACTCCCCCCCACACACATACACACACACAACCCCACGCTCCTTCACTCCCCCCCGCTGCACACACACACACACAACCCAATGCTCCTTCACTCCCCCCCGCTGCACACACACACACAACCCAATGCTCCTTCACTCCCCCCCACCACACACACACACACAACCCAATGCTCCTTCACTCCCCCCGCTGCACACACACACACACACAACCCAACGCTCCTTCACTCCCCCCGCTGCACACACACACACAACCCAACACTCCTTCACTCCCCCGCTGCAACGCTCCTTCACTCTCCCGCCCCCGCTGCACACACACACACAACCCAACGCTCCTTCACTCCCCCCCTGCACACACACACACAACCCAATGCTCCTTCACTCCCCCGCTGCACACACACACACACCACCCTTCACTCCCCCCCCCGCACACACACACACACAACCCAACGCTCCTTCACTCCCCCCCCGCCGCACACACACACACACCTCCAAGAACCTCCGGCGGGAATCCCAAGAGGAGGAGGAAGGAGAAAGCCGAAGAGGGAGCGCAGCCAAACTCTTACCTAAGGAAGGGAGAGGTCAGTGAGGGAGCCAGGGAGGGAGGAAAAAAATAGAGGGGCGTATGAGCCAGAAAAAAGGAAGGAAGAGAGGAGAAAGGAGGAAGTGAGGCCAGGCAGAGACGAGAGAAGGAGGAACGCGAGAAAGAGAGAAGGAGGGAAGGAGAGAGGGAGAGGGAGGAGAGAAAGGGGGAACGCGAGAGAGAGATAGAAAGAGGGGAAAGGAGGGAGTGTGTGAGAGAGTGAGAAAGAGGGAGGGAGAGAAAGAGAAGGATGGAGCATAAAGAAGGGGGAGGAAGGAGGGATGCGAGAGAGAGAGAGAGAGAAAGAGGGGAAAGGAAGGAGTGTGTGAGAGAGAAAGAGGGAAAGAGAGCGAGAGAAGGAAGGAAGAGAGAAGAAAGGAGGAAGTGAGGCCAGGCAGAGACGAGGGAAGGAGAGAGAGAGAGGGAGAGGGAGGAGAGAAAGGGGGAACGCGACAGAGAGAGATAGAAAGAGGGGAAAGGAGGGAGTGTGTGAGAGAGTGAGAAAGAGGGAGGGAGAGAAAGAGAAGGATGGAGTGAAAAAGAGAAGGGGGAGGAAGGAGGGACGCGAGAGAGAGAGAGAAAGAGGGGAAAGGAAGGAGTGTGTGAGAGAGAAAGAGGGAAAGAGAGCGAGAGAAGGAAGGAAGAGAGAAGAAAGGAGGAAGTGAGGCCAGGCAGAGACTTCAAAACTCTTACTATAGGCCACAGCAACGCGTGGCAGGGTACAGCTAGTTATAAATATAGTCTTATTTAAAAGTGTGGATTCGGTTAAGATATGTCCTTCACTAACTTCACAATTTCTTCTTCTTCTGGGCATTTTCTACCTCATAAATAGCAAGTTTCTCTTACTGCAGCCAATTTTAATTGATGTCTACTTTTGATCTTCTCCCTCAGTTCGCCAAGTCATGAGGGAGAAACATATGTAGGACCTCTTCATGTATGATTCATTTAAATGACCCTGGCAGGTGTGATGGTTACTTTGATCTTTTTTATGTATTGCAGTACTTAGAATGATTGGACTATTCACAGTGTAAGTCTATGGATGTATTTCCAAAACAACCCTGCTGTGTTTGATGGGGTTGATTTGTGAGTAAAGGTGAACAAACCTGCAGTGTCATGTATCACCACTCCGCTTCTGTGCAGTAGCGAAAATGTTTAAACTAGGGATTGGAACTATATGATTCTCCAAATATTGTTGGGCTGCAACTAATAACATGCAGTAAAGTGCAGAATGATGAAAGCATGATCCAGAAGCATCTAGAGAAACACCCAATAACCAGTCTTGTAGAAAATAAAATGACCTTAAATTCCTGTGTCTTATATATTACATGATGAACTTCTTTCATTAACATCTTAATTTTTCATTTAGAAATACAGGTTCAGGATCCCTAATCCAAAATGCTTCTGACTAGATATTTTAGAGATGGGACATACCTATAAACAAAATGTATGTTTCATACACACTTTGTAAACATATCCTGAAAATAATTTTGTATTTTTAATAACTGCATTAAAAAAGTGCAAGTTTCCACTTTCTCAGCCATCCATGTAGACCAGTGGTTCTCAACCAGTGGATCCCCAGGTATTTTGGCCCACAACTCTCAGAAATCCAAGCTAGTTTACCAGCTTTTAGGATTTCTGGGAGCTGAAGGCCAATACATCTGGGGACTCCCAAGTTAAGAACCACTGCTGTAGACAGTTTTTGAGGATTTGGGAATTAAAGATAAGAGATGCTTAACCTGTATTTATTTTGTAGTAACTTGATGATAATGACATATATTACGTTGTTTTTCCAAGTCTTGCTTAATTTTTGTTTTCTTTTTTGCATTTCAGAGATTAATCTACTATGGGCAGGACACCAAACTCATCATAGTTCAGAGGATTATAATTTATTCACAGCATTAAGGCAATCTGTTTTGCAGAAGTATACATCTTGGGTAAGTTATACAAAATGCACAATGGCCTGTAATAAATATTATTACATTTGTAATAAATATTAACAAGTGTTCCAGTTGTCAATAATTTTGCACCATCAGTTCGATGTCTTTTTAAATACACTTAAGGTGAAAGTGTATTTACAATGTTAATTGCTATCATGTTTTTAGTCAAGTGGATTCATATTACTTATTTACTTACTTACTTAGGCCATCCCTCGTAGTTCAAGGATGATGGTCATCCAAGTGTAGTATCCTGGCGGTGGGTCTGTAGGTGACTGTGAAGCTCTATTTTTGATCTGCATCTTCTCCCACAGTGAGGGCATCAGTTTCCAGGTGGAAGGCTGTCCTAGTCGGGGCAGGCTTGACACGCCTTCCTCTTGGCACATTTCTCTCTTTCGCCCTCCATTTGTGCCTCTTCAAATTCTGCAGCACTGCTGGTCACAGCTGACCTCCAACTGGAACGCTCAAGGGCCAGGGCTTCCCAGTTCTCAGTGTCTATGCAACAGTTTGGATTTGAGCCCGTCTTTAAATCTCTTTTCCTGTCCTCCAACATTCTGTTTTCCATTCTTGAGTTCGGAATAGAGCAACTGCTTTGGGAGACAGTGGTTGGACATCCGGACAACATGGCCAGTCCAGCGGAGTTGATGGCGGAGGACCATCGCTTCAATGCTGGTGGTCTTTGCTTCTTCCAGCACTTTGGCATTTGTCCGCTTGCCTTCCCAAGAGATTTGCAGGATTTTTCGGAGGCAGCGTTGATGGAATCGTTCCAGGAGTTGCATGTGACGTCTGTAGACTATCCACGTCTCACAGCCATATTACAGGGTTGGGAGGACAATAGCTTTATAAACAAGCACCTTGGTACCCCTATGGATGTCCCAGTCCTCAAACACTCTGTGCTTCATTCAGAAAAATGCTGCACTTGCAGAGCTCAGGCAGTATTGAATTTCAGTGTCAATGCTGACTTTTGTGGAGAGGTGGCTGCCAAGGTAGAGGAAACTGTCAACATTTTCTAATGTTACACTATTAAGTTGTATTTCTGGCATTGGAGAGGGATTGGCCAGTGACTGCTGGAAGAGTACTTTGGTTTTCTCGATGTTTAGTGACAGGCCGAGCTTCTCGTATGCTTCTGCAAAGGTGTTTAGAGTGGCTTGTAGGTCTTCTTCTGAATGTGCACAGATGATGTTGACATCAGCATACTGGAGTTCTATAGCAGATGTTGTTGTAACCTTGGATTTGGCTTTCAGTCTGCTGAGGTTAAATAGCTTGCAATCTGTCTGATAGATGATTTCCACTCCAGTGGGAAACTTCCCATCAACAAGATGAAGTATCATAGCGATGAAGATAGAAAATAAGGTTGGGGCAATAACACATCCCTGTTTGACACCTGATTCCACCTTAAATGGGTCACTTTGGGAGCCATTGCTGTTCAAGACTGTTTCCATCATGTCATCATGGAGGAGCCGCAGTTACATTTCCTGAAAGTGCACCCAAAAACCCCCCTTAGAAGCTGGGCAATGCTGCCAGCATATAGGTTTCCAAGGCTCTGAAGAGTGGGGTCATGAGTGAAGGTGTCCACCTTTCTTATGTTATCAAAGTGCTTTGTGATAGGTAGTTATAGTAGTACCCTGAAGGATTTCCTGTGCTGTCTTTCAGAAAGCCCCTTGATACTGGAAGAGAGCTTGATGCCATTTTACTCATCAGCCCATTCCCAAGTGGAAAATATCATGGAAAATATCTATGTTGATTCCGTTGACTAGCTTCTAGAGTTGGTTTCTGTGGGGTCATATCAGGAGATGCTGCTATAATGACAAAATTCCATCATTGCAGCTGCATTTCCTGAGGATCCTTGGACCCCTGTTAATAGCCATGCTAAGATCTTGCAAATCCAAGGCCATCATGTTAGGGGGTACTGTCGTTTTAGCCTTGAATATATTTTAATAAGTCTATAAGAATTTTAACTGTTTATTTTAATACCATAAATTCTATTTCAATGTTTGTATATTTCTATTTTTAGGTTTAAAATGGTATTTCATTTGATTTTACTGTGAGCCTCTTTGAGTCTTTTGTAGAGAGAGAAAGCAGGGTATAAATAAATATAAACAGAAGTTCCTTGTTTGAATCTTTCCAAAATCTTTCTCTTTACCTATTGCTTAAAAATATACTAAGCATTATTGCTTTTTCTAATGAGTTACGTTATTTTATGCTATGTCCCAAATATAATTACATCAGTTTGAGCATTTTGGTTTTTAAGAGAGAGTCGAGGCTTGATTGCGTCTTGGATCGATTATTTCTCTTTTTGTTAGCCCGTGTTATCTGTCGATCTCTCCCCCAGCACTACATTTCAGATGAGTTGATTTTCTTCATGCCAGCTTTCTTCACTGATTAGCTTATACAACCTTAGATAAAAATCAGGAATGTTTTGGAACCTTTTCCTTACACTTTTTTTAAAAAAATACGATTTGGCCTCCCCTTGTCTTATGACTGTTATTTAATTTATTTGTTAAAATATATAAGTCAATTCAATAAAAAAGTATACTTCTTACACTGGAGTAGTACTATATAAACTTAAGGTTTGCTTCCATTGATAATGATCATTCGCATTTGAATTAATTAATTTAATATGTGAATAGTTTTCTTCCTCTTTATAAATCACCTTAAAATATTGGATTAAAGGAAAATGATGAAAACTTTAAATATCAAAAATAATTTCTTGAAATTGCCTCACTCCTGCCCGAAAACTTTCATATTTTTGCACTATTGTAAGAAATAATACTTACTTAATATTATTTCTGCTTCAATGTTCCCATGGTTAATTGGAAACTTTGCAGAGGAAGGTGACTTATGCATTGATAGCCTGGCAAGGCACTTATGTCTAGCAGCCAGGTCTCTATGCATAATTCCTTGTACTGGATCAGTCATTATGTCACAGCCATTAATACTGCTGAGACCATCAATAATAATTAGTTCATCTGTTTCCATACAGGCTAGAAAGTGAGAATAGTTTCTATGCTATCTAAGGAAATAAGTACTTTGTCTAGAATGGAGACTAAGTATGCTAGTAGAGGAAGCAGAGCACAGATTAATAGAATGCGGGAGACCTTTAGTTTTATGATTTCTGCAGAGAAAACATGATAGCTAGGTCTTCATCTGACATGCCATGGTCTATGAATATCTATGAAAATTAAGAGTGATGGCAAGTTTTTTTCACCCATCTCTGTTTTTCAGTTGCTGTAGAGGCATGGGCCAATGCTACTTTAATAATTGTCAGAAAGATGTGCATTTTGAACCTCACTGAGCTTTGTTTGTAGATTCTGGGAGGAGGGGGGGGGGCTTTATGATCCGAGCGTAGACCCAAAACTGAAAATTTCCACAAATGCTTGCTTCTATGCCTTGGAGACTTTATGGTCTAAAACAATGGAAATTATGAATTCAACCTTCTGAAATCACAGGACATGGGTGTGCCCCCACCCCACTACAGTTGTCTTCTTCTCCATTCACATCAACAAAAGATGAAGTATAGGCAATCCCTGAGTTACAAACATCCAACTTACAAATGACTCCTAGTTAAGAATGAGGATTAGACAACAGGAAGTAAGAGAAACCTACTCCTAGGATGGAAAATGCACTCCTTAAAGACTTTTCACAAGACAAAGGTGTCTCCAAGCTTTATTACCAATCCTTGGTTCCACAACAAGCCAAAGTTTTCAAAATCTAATTATCACAGGGACCAAAAGTGTGGTAAAATCTTCTGGACAGGGGCATGGACAGCAAAAATAACTCCATAGGGATGTTAACCCTTCTCTATGCAATCTAACCATGTGTGTGTGTGCGGCTGGAGTTACACTTTACACATACATTGTTCCGACCTACAATTTAACTTAAGAACAAACCCACAGAAGCTATCTTGTTTGTAACTTGGGGACTGCCTGTAGTAATATTGCTTATATGTATGGGTCTGTTTCATTTTTCTGATAGCAATGAAATGTAAGAATATAGGGATGTTAGGTGCATCAAAATCTAGGAATATTTGTATTGGGACCATCTGTATTAATTACATTATAACAAAATAATAGTTTTGCATTATTGCAAAAATAATAGTAGAGGCAAAATTATAGCTAGTAATGAATCTCCACTTATGTTCTATTGCAAACACATAGTAAGAAAATTGCCATTTTTAGTTGAACAGAGAGCCCTTCCACACAGCCATATAACTCAGAATATCAAGGCAGAAAATCCCACACTATGAACTTGGGTTATCTGAGTCTACACTGCCATATATTCCAGTCCAGGGCAGTTAATGCGGGATTTTATTCAGCTGTGTGGAAGGGGCCAGAGTTAAGAGGCAATGTGTTAACTTATTTCTAGTAATGGTTTCCAAAATTGAAAATAAAGATAATTCTCATAATCTCTTTTCATAAAAAGTAATACATTGTGATTTCATAATCATTTCATTTCTGCCATATTATAGTTCTCAATAATTTGATTGGAAACCTTTGTGATGGAAGTACTGACTAGTAGTGAAATAAGTGTCAGTTGGCTATAGATTCAACTTTTGACATTTTTGTCTCTGAAGTTTTAAATTCTTACCAAATGACATTGGTTGAGTAGAGCCATGTGCATAACTGAGAAACTAGGCATCCATCCATCCACAGTTTGGGCATTTTGTGTGAGAAGAGCAGTGTGTGGAACAATTGAGCTAGGCACTCTTAAATAATGAAACATGGCAACTATTTTAGTTGTAGCACATCTTTATCACTACTGGGTTTCAATGAAGCATATTACAGAATATCAAGATACGTTGGTATGTGTCTAATGATGAGGGCAGCAGCCAAGGTTTTGGAATGAGTATATTCTCACTATACTGGTTTTCTTCTTTGTTGTATTAGGTATGCCACCAATGTACATGTACTCTCTTTTGAGTTTTCCATTATTCCATTATTGAATGAACACAATATTATGCTTCACAAAAATAATGGAAAGGTTTAATCATTGTCTTAATTTTGCATCCTTTTCCTTTGGTTTAATTTAGAAATTTTCCTTTTCTATTTTTCAGGTATTCTATTTGCCCTTGGCTTTCTTTATTCCACCTTCTGTGTATGCTGTTCATCTCCAATTTAATCTGCTATACCAATTCTGGATACATACAGAGGTAATATGGGATTTTAAGCAATGCATAAACTGTGTTTTGGAAACTTACTAGTAGCTGATTTATTGTGTAAGAAAAGTCTTTTTCTGACTTCACAAAGAGAAACATATGCTCATTTTATTCTTGATTTTAGGATATATAAGAAATGAAATGAGTGGAGAGTGAGTGGGCTATATTTATAAGAAGCAATGAAGCCAGTTGGTCCCAATTAGTTTGAAACACTTTTAACTACAGCAAATTCAAACAATATACTTCTTTGGTACTGTGTTCTATATATACATAAGAATACACACATACAAACATACTTCTTACACTGTATGATAATTGCTCCAACACTGATAGACTGACTGTATATTTTACCAAAGTATTTTCAGAAAGAAACTAAACTGCCTAGATTATTTTAAAATTTCAGTTATTACAGGTTGTTTTTTTGTTGTTGATTGTTTTCATCTCTCATATGATTATCTGCACAGCAAAATTACATGTGAATATATTTTTTGCATGTGTATGCTATTGTTCTGCACTGATTACTAATTAGTTGGTAAGTTTTATTATACCTTTCCAATAATCATGGATTTTAAAAAGATACAATATACAAGGATATGCAGTCATCCTTCCATATTTGTCAGCTAAGCATTAACTATTAGGTTTGATTATTCAGAGGTTATTGTTTTATTAACTGCTGTGTGTCCCCTCGGGGAGAGAGGGCAAGTTATAAATAAAGTGTTGTTGTTGTTGTTGTTGTTATCAATATTATTGCTGTCTTCACTGCTACCTTCACAACATTTTTAACATGGAGGTTGGTAACACCAGTATTGCTATGAGGAAATCAAATTGGTGAGATGGCTGTGCAGTTGAGGAGGGTGAAAAGGAGGAGAAATAATAGCCTTGGTGTGTCTCTGCTGCTGGTTGATAGGAGATGTGAAGAGGGAGGAAAAGGGCTGAGGATCGGACTGGATGCCGCCTGGGTTGCTCCTATTATTCTTATTATTATTGCAAAGGCTGGATGACCATCTGTTGGGGGGTGCTTTGACTGTGCTTTTCCTGTATGGCAGAAGGGGGTTGGACTAAGTGGAAGACCTTGGGGTCTTCCACTGAAATACTGGTAAGTTTATGTTGGTAACATTGTTCTTCATTTTAAGTATTGTATTGTTCTTTCTTTCTTTCTTTGCACTACAAACAAGATATGTGCAGTGTGCGTAGGACTTCATTTCCCCCCCAATTAGTTCACACAAACATTCTACATCCATCTACCACTGGCCCCGCCCATCTGTCAATTTTTAAAATGCATTGTGGCTGTTATGTTTTTGGCTTTTCCAATATTGCTTCTGACTTTATCCCAGGCATCATCATTACACATATAGAGGAACCCAATATGATATTCACCTGTAAATGCTTTGAGTCAATTGGTGGTCAACGTAAAGTGTCTCTGAAGTCATTGTGAATGGGATTCCAGTGCATGGCATCTGGATTAAAATAATTGATTCATCTTTTTTTCTGACAAATAGATGGAGTATAGAAAGATAAAATTGCAGGTAGCATGGCTAACACATATGGAAACATTCAATTTTAGAAACAAAATGTTTTTCTGCCACTTTAGCTCTAAGTTATATTGTTGTTGTTGGGTTTTTAAAATATTGCATTGTATGTTTTACTTATTTTATGTTACGTGGTCCATATATTGCTGCAAGGAGGCCCACATCTTTCTATGTTGACCATAAAAACAGTGTTTTTGGATTTCCTGTGCATATTGTTTGGGTTTCTTGCTGTGCACATACACTTGACCTTTTATGTACAATATACTCCCACCTTTTAAAGTATTATAAATCTGAAGGTCGTACTAAACTGCTCTGGTAGTTATAATAAAAGACCCTATAATAAAAGACCCAAATCACAGTGGGCTGCTAGAACAAATAAAATAGTTCTGTGTGTGTGTGTGTGTATGTATGTGTATAGAAAGGGATCCAGGTGTTACGGTGACAGAAATAAATTTAATTTTGTTCAGTTGTTGCTCCCTGACAGATGTGAATTATATATTTATATTTAATTATGCGCGATTCCATTGCAAAAATGACTCTAATCTAGTAGCTACCTGTATTGCAACATTAAATCACAAATAACTATGATGTCAAAAAGTCCCCACAAATGGTTTTTTATATTAAATAAATGATGCTCCTAAATTTATAAAATGATTTTTAGTTGTTTTTATCCAAACTAGTGGTACAGACTCAAACATAAGAGGTCTGCCTTTAATATAAAATCTATAGGCAATAGATCAGGGCTTTCATGGCCGGAATCCCCAGGTTGCTGCAAGCTTTTTGGGCTATGTGTCCATGTTCCAGAGCATTCTCTTCTGACGTTTCGCTTGCATCTATGGCAGGCATTCTCAAGGAGAAACATCAGGAGAGAATGCTTCTGGAACATGGCCATACAGCCCAAAAAAACTTACAGCAACCCAGTGCTGATTAATCCTGGGTAATTGCACTTCTTGAGCAGCTTCTGATAATCCCCTTTTCTCTCTCTTGCTGCTACTTCCCCCTTTGCCCTCATCTTACTTCCTTTACTGCACTCAGATGGAGAGGAGAGAGGAAGCACCCCTGGCTTTTCCAGTAAAGTCCCTTCCACACTGACCACTTAGATCTATGTATGAGTGGATCAGCCAAACACCACACAGTGCTGATCAAGAGCAATATGGGACAAAGCTACCTTAATGTGACTTTGCTCCACATTAGCCAAAGTCAGGGGAAAGTTTGAATTCTAGCACAGAAACCTGACTGCAAACCACCCAAGCCTGCAATGGCAGTGGGGGCAGTTGCAGAGAGTTCTATTTTCAAAATACCCAACTGTTTCCATAAGACCACATTCAGCAGAAAGAACACAATACCTTTTTTTGCCCAAAATATTTTTTTTTTTGGCCAAGAAAGTGAAATGAGAAAATTGTGCAATTTTATTTCAAATAAATAAATAATCTTAGCCAGCAGGAAGGAAAGTTTTAAAATTCTCCATCATCTATGCTAGAACAAAATAAGCAGTAATTAACACCCCTACCCTGGACAATTAGTATTTTGTAATTCATCTCTGTATTTGACTAGTAATGTTTAGAATTGTTCTGTGATTATCCTTAGAATTACATACCTATTTCACCAAGTAGGTTGATTTGTATTTTAAATTAGGTTATAGTAAATATAAATACAAGGTTGTGAGTGTGTTCTGTCTGAGTCAAAACCCATGAATTTGTCCATTGTAAAGTAGACTCTTCTGTTGAAAAGGGTAGGGAAAATATTTCTATCAAATGCCGGGTTCACTTACAATCTTAGTTCAGGAATTAAAAACAAGTCTGAGTGACAACATTTTGCCTTCAAGGTAATTTATTATATACGCATTTCTCAGTGCCCTTCTATTTATTGTATAAACAGTTTCTAATGCTGACTATCCACTAAAGCTAAGTTCTCATTCCTTTATTCCTAGAATACAGTCATATCAGAAATTCAGACCCCCATGAATCCTTTATGATCCCAACAGGCTGGTTCCTTTAGCTTGTTTTACTTCCAAACCAAAAATATTATTGTTTCACTCCTCAATGTGGAAATTTGGCTACCTCCATATTACATGCTTACTGGAGTAGAAAACTGCCTAATCAGATAAAAAAAACAGTTGGCGGTGAATAAATCAGAGTTTGCCGAAAATTTCAATGTGTGCAAGCAGGGAGAGGAGCATATATCCTAGGAGTTCTGCCTTTGCCCTGCTTCCCTGTAGAGAATTCACATGGCAAATATGGCCACCAGGTCCATCTGTATAAATACATGGGTGGGTTGTCTTGAATTAGTACAACAGCTTAGGTAGAGAAAGCAAATCACGCTTTAATTTTTATGTTTCCTCACCAGATGGACTAAAATATGGATCCATATTCTAAACAGTTGCCTTTTCAAGAAGGATTTTATAAATTTATGGACAAGTTAAAACTAATGACTTGTAGGGCTTTATTTTAGGTTGACAAGCAACTCATAATTACTGTATACATTTGAATGTAATTGTTCCTACTGAATTCTTTTCTATGTTTATGAAGTCTTCCAAGATACCAAAGGGATTGTCAGCACTTTATGGATTCCAGAAACCAAGGGGAAGAATCATAGAATCATAGAATCAAAGAGTTGGAAGAGACCTCATGGGCCATCCAGTCCAACCCCCTGC